GGCGAGTTCGCATTTCCAATTGATAATACTGCCGAGCAAAATTCGGGCCCCCATAACTTTTTAAGGAGAACCATTTTGCAGTTTTAATTTCCATTTTCGTAAACAGCATTCAAAACTCTATCGAATTATCTGGGTCTGAATTCAAAGTTCCAAGATAAGTAGACTACCCCTCCCTGGTAAGATATTTGTCTACTTGACGATGGGATGACATTTCAATCGTATTGTGACTGTTGCCTCTACTAATCTCTCAGTAGTACCCTTTTATGGGCGGTAAAGTTGACGTCGGTCACTCGGGTAACGACATCTTCAAGGAGTTGTCAAAGGCGAAGAGAATGCCTCCACTGGGACTTCTTCCATGATCATTCCAGGTCTTTCCTTTAAGTAATTTCGTGCTCTTCCTTTCCAGTATTAGAGAAATGCCTTTGTATTTATCTCGTTTCCATGAACTCGGAAGAAATAGCATGGATTGTAAGCTAGCCCCTCACTTGTCTTTCTTTTTGTCGTCTTCTTTAACCGATATGTCAGTAAATTCTACATCATCGTAGCCTTTTTTCTTTACTGGCTTTCTGCCTGCATTTTCTTCTCTTTTTGCCAAATCTTCGATATTCATATCTGAATATTAATATGTTATTGTATGATGAAATTAATCAGATCCAAACATAAAACTCACTTAAACTCTTAAAAGTAAGGACCCTTCACGTTGTCTGCTTGATCTGGTCGTCCACTGATTAAACCACAAGTGCACGACAGGCGATCAGGCAGTACTCATCGACAGTAAGCCACACAATGACTTCATGCTACTAAGAATTTCTCCTTAAATATGATTGCACGGTACTTCAATCATTATTCATATGTTATCAGACTCAACAGTCCTGTTTATTCCTAAGTGGATGGGGTCTAGGGCTTGAAAGGATTATCGGAAGAAACTTTCTAGTTCTTCTATTTAGATTCGACTGAAAATGAGGCGGGTGAACCGTATATAAATAGCAAAAGAGGTGTTTTTATCACAGATTTCTTCTTTCCGTGAGTAAAATCAGTGGAGACGGGCCATGGGGACGATATATCCTACTCTATATAATTCGCTAAGTGTGTCTGTTGGTGTGTCGGTGTGTGTGTTTGACCGGAAATTCATAACTCCTGTTCCAGTGGACCCAAAGCGTTCAAATTTGGCAGGAGTACAGGGGGCAGCACGGGAACACTTATGGCAAGTGGTAGGACCGGACTCCGCCCACAGGGGGCTGGGCGTGCGCGATAGGTGTTCTAGGTCGCAAATAACTCCTGTTTACGTGGACCTAGAGAGTTTAAATTCGGTAGGAATACGGGGACAAGGATGGGAACACTCATGACAGGTGACAGGACTAGACTCAGCCAGGAGGCGGGTTTGTGCAGACTAAACATGTTAGCGGAAATTCGTAACTTCTGTTTCTGTGGACTTAGAGAGTTCAAATATGGTAGGATTACAGCTTTCGTGTTAACAGTGGAACCTCGGCTTTTTAATAAGTGGTGTAGGATATGACGGGATCCTATGTACTCGGTGACAAGAACCGGTAATAACTGATAAAAAAAATTAAGGGGCCCAAGAGAGCAAGTGCCACCTGCCGATCGAAATCCTAACGCCTTCGGTGTTCACGATGTAGCTTTAGCTGTTCAGTATCTTTCATTCGATAAGATGAGATGGTTTGAGTTGGGTGACAAAAGGAGTGGTGAGTGCAGTTGTAGGGATACATTAGCGACATTGCGATAAGCAGATTAGAATTTTGTTCATCTATTGCTATCAGATTACGACCGCTACACAGCAAAGTTTGTGACTTGATGAAGGATCCTCATTGTTCGATATCACTTGTGACGAAATTAACCGACCGCCAGTTATTTGGAACTCTTTAATGTCATTTTTGTGAAGTAAAAGGTTCATTGATAACATCTGATAATGGTGTAATCATCACACGAAATATTTGTCAGTACCGCCCAAGGCTTTGGTTACCTGATGGTTCAATCTTTATGGGTATTTATCTTCAAGAACGAGAGCAAAAGATCGAGGCTCTCAATTAAAGAAGTAAGTACCGACTTTCACTGAATACCACTACCCTGTTAGTCCTGTGTCAAATTTCGTATACAGGAAAATATTATTTGCTTTGAAGAAGGGGTGGAGAGTTAGCCGATTACTACAACTTTGTCAAGGAAGGAGGGAAGCCCGACGTTAGCCGGGCGAACCGACTTTACATAAGAAAGAGGATGCCCGGCGAGAGCCGGGCAATCCGACTTCAATTATAATACAGAAAAAAATCGCTTCCCATTTGGAGCTAATACTGAGGGTATAGAGCTTCCAAAGAAAAAGGAGAATTCGAGGAGCGCCCGGCGAAGCCGGGCGACACCATAAGAAGGAGGGAAGCCTGGCGTTAGCCGGGCGGCTGAGACTGGTTGTGCTATATGATCTCTTCTGGTGCAGCTGAAACCATCTCAGCTATTTCTGTCTTCAATTAAAATCAGGTTGCTTTCCTGCACTATCAAGTCACCTTTTTTGGCTCACAATCAGTGCACAACATCACACTCGGAAAACCCACATCTACAGTATCTAATTGGCATGAAGAAGATCATTGCAGTGGTTTCTATGCATAAATTGCTCAGAGAACTACTCATTCACAAGTTTCTGCGATGTACCAAAGACGACAACCAAAAAAGTCGTGTGAAACAGTGCTCGCGATGTTATATGATTGACTTACGCCTCCGGATTGTCCAGACCTTTGGGTTAAGAATGGTCTCTGTCATCGTTCGGTTACCTCTAACCAGAGTGCTCCACAGTAAGCTTGCTTTTTCCTACATAAACTGTTCTACGGCACCTGTCTGTCCATTCCATATTGTTATTTATTTGTTTAATCGTTCATCTACGAATTCATTCCAGATTCTATCCATTTGAACGTCTGAATTTAAAAAATTGAGTTTGAACCGAAATCCCTGCACTGAGTTGTATAAGGGAACAGCTCATTATATAGCTGGCCAGTTATGTTTCCAGTGCGATTCCTTTAGGCTCATTCATCCGTTTATTTAATTGTATTCACTCGTTAGTATTCGAGTTAGACTGCTCAACGTAGAAGAGGAATTTAAGCAGTACGGTAATCAGTACGATGGGTGGGGTGGGAATGTTCGCTTAACACATTACGGTTATCCCAGTGAGCATGAGATATGAAGTAATGGCACGGTGAGGTGCATCTCGTTGGATTAACTGGAATGGGTAGTGGCTTCCCCATTGATTTGTCCGTCTCGTTAATGATTGTGCTCATAGCTGATATCCGCCAGCTAAACATCTTTTCACACGCTAAATACATATGTAATCGTAGAGCTTCTTCTTACTCGGGTTATTAAAGATTCGTTATGATGATGAATTTCTTACTAATAATAGTAATAATAATATCAATACCAAGAATAGTAGCAAAAGTAGTAATAATGCAATTAGTTGGTGATAACAGCGATAAGGGTGCTTTTCAGATGCTTCTGTATTCCTTTCCACCCGTTTTTTCCGTTTTTTCTTGTCCCTCTGATTTCATGACAACTATAGCACCATGTTATCGCCGGAATTTGTCTAGCAGCTTTTCCTAAAAGAAGGATTATCTCCTGACGTAATACATTATCAGTCAACAACCCTTCAACATATCCCAAGTGGGATGACGTATTACTGAAATTCGGACTTTTTTGATCACTATGGGGAAGGCGCCGTCTGCATTTTTCAGTTTTTTTTTTCGATTTTTTCCGAGGCTCCTACGGAAATATTTCAAGAGGTTGGATACAGCAGTGTAATCTTTCCGTTGAAGCGATTGCCTGGTCTTACACTTATCATTACTATCATCTTCTCACATCATTGTATCTTTTATCTGTCATCACAAATCATTATCATCATCTACTCATGTTCAAATTCACAAGTTTGTAAATGAGGATAAAGCAATGAGCCTCGAGCGATGACTCTGCCACCAGCATCAAAACGACGGCAATTTTCTCAAACTTTGACGTTCCCCTTCGTTTTTTAGCGCATTTTGGACGAGTTTTCCTTTTTTCGGGTGAGAACTGCCTTTCCCTCCCATTCCCTCGAATCTCGAATAACTTCATAGAATGAGGCCCTTGTGGCAAAGAATTATATGGATTCATGTCGCAATCCCTTTTTAAATTGAATTCCTTGGATTTCAATGCTAGCCTGTCAAAAGGCTAATCTCTACTTCCCTACTAATCCGACCTATCTTATCCGTATATCCCAGCCTTAATGCTTCTTAGCCACTAAATTCTAATCGGTAACGGTATGTTTTATTGATAATGGTGAACAGGAATGCAGCGAATATCAGCGATTCAGGATGCAACCATCATTCTTGATACGCGGAACAGCGTTATCTACAGGGATACCAAACGATCCTAAACCATCTCGGACACCACCAAATTTGCCTGGTCCTCAGCATGTGAACGTGAGCTAGTTATTTGTTTGCTCTGAATATATTTAGGTTTGAAAAATTATCGATAAGCTCCTTAGGATGTCTGGACGTTCCGAACTGGTCAAGCTTATGTGCTTCTTATGGTAATCGCTGACCCGCAAGCAAATGAGTAGGCATATAAATAGGAGTTTGTTATGAAAAATTACGCTGGAGCTATATTTAACGTTTCATTCTGATATGTGGCATGGTTCGATAACTTCCTGAAGGGGGACTATCCAAGAGAAGCGGCTAAGTTACCCAGTAGGAGCACAAAAGTTTCTTTTTGGTCAAAAATCGCTATGTACAGGGCCGTCGTAAGAGGACCATTGCGTCGGCTGGATCCTTTCTTACAGCCGTTTGTGATGGTGATAAGGTTGAAGTGGAAAGGAGCATCAGTGGGCAACGAGTGAAGGTGAGCGAGATCTTTGGTGTTGCAAAAGAATATCAGCATTCTATACGTTCAGCTCTGCCATCCACTTACCGGCTGTTCGACTTTGCATCTGGCTGTGCTCAGTAATAATCCTGAAATCTTGGAGATTCTCCTTCAAAATCACAATGTCGATGTCAATATGAGGGATAATGTTGGTCGTGTTTGATCGTTTCCGCTCAGATTTCTTTGAGGACTGTTTTCAGCATGGTCGAACTGCTCTACATTATGCAGCAGCTATTTACAGCTTGGAAGGCGATCCGACAATGTACTTTATGTTGACCGAAAGAGATGCAGCAGACGATATACCTGGTCAGCTGAGGTTTCTGTGTGTGGGCAGAGATGGGACCAGATAAGGAGGCTCCCCTCTGGTCAATCAGTTTCCGGAAAGGATGATTCGTAGTTTGTATAGCCTTGATGAAATCAGAAACCACTGCTACATAAATGCCCTCTACCTTCAAGAAGGGGTGCGAGGGACCGAAAATCCAGGCCCTCAGGGATTGCCCTCCACCATTATTTTGCCTAGTCCAGTGACCCAAGGTGATTGCAATTTTCACATCATTCCGATATTTCAGATTATGAAGGTTTCACACCGATAGACATGCGCCAGGATCCTTCACTGATCGATCTAGAACGAGCTCGATATCTCAATAAATGTGAGCTTCATTGCTAGTCATAAGAAAATTCTATCGTTAGCTATTCTTATTGTATAATATTACTAAATTTTTCAAAATTCATATAGAAATAGGAATAGGAAGGGCCTGGTTCGTTTTGCCATGGGATACCGACGATTTTCTACAATCCCTCACGAAGAATGAAGGCATAATTAACGAAAAAAATGATTTTCGAGATTTTTCCCTATGAAGAACCTTTGACCCCTAAGGATAGTATGAGGGACGCTGTCGGGTCGAAAAACGGCCAGATAAGGCGTAGTAAGGGCCTCAAAACCGGCTCAGCTACACACCTGAAGGAGACAAGTTGTAACAGAGTTTTAGAGGCTGTAGAGGTTGCACCATTCACAGCAGGACGCGCGCTTTGCACTAGACCGATCACTGTGGCTAGCTGTACGCGATGTCACACATATTTGGACAGCTCGTCCAAACGCCTCTTTCCATGCAACTTTTGTCGTCACATTGTCGTACGACTCCTAATTTTACAACTTGTTTGATGCCTTATATTTTCCTGAATAAGTCATCGATCTTTGATTTTCTTCGCCACTACTATTCCACTATTCACCAATGACTAGATACCCTAGATTTATTGCGAACTATGTCTTTAAGGGAAACTGATTAGAAAGAGAGTACCCACTTGTTGATCTATATTGAATTACGAATTAATTGCAGCTAGCAAAAAGCAGGTCTATTAATTGATCAAACGTTAGGATTTTACATGGCTTGGCTTAGTCCCCTTTGAATCGGTCCAGTAAGTAGTCTAATGGAGCACCTTCATAACCTGGTTTGGAGTGAGGTACTGCGGAGATAAACTGCAGAACCACTTTTACAAAATCTTTAATAATCTCATGAATGCCCGTTGCCTATCTACGCATTGGGACACGCCTCTTTCCTCAGAATTTAGACGCAATATGACGTCAAAACACTTTTATCACTAAAGAGGAGAGGACGAAGAGGCACTGCTGCTATGGAAACCAGCAAAACAAGGAGTTCAAGAGAACTCTGAACTTGGGAGTTTTCATGTCTCTTGCTTCATGCCAACAAATTGGAGTGGATTGCAACTGTAGCTAGCTGTTACAACCACATATGGACATCCATCTCAGCTTGCAACTGATCGATCACATCGGAAATTGAGGAAATGGGAAGGAAACGTCAGATTAGCATTCCGCCTATCATTAGCCTATCATTGGCCTAATGTATCGTGTGTAACAGCAAACGGTATCTGCAAAAGCGTATTTGGTAGCCCTTCACCAAATCATCTCGTTGTTGGACAACATCGACAGAATAAGAATAGGGCAGATGTGGTGTAGTGGCAAGTGGCGCGCTATCCCTTGCTCATGGTCATGGGTTCGGATTCCGGATCGATATTTGACAAGGCAGACAAGCCATCCGTCTCTCCATGGTCGTTTTATTGGTGCCGAATTCGTCTGGGAGGATAAAAGCAATGGCTTGTACATCGGCTAGCCGCCCCTAGTTATTGTACATACGTAATGGCCACATACGCCACTACGATTCTAAATGGAAATGGAATGCGGGAGCGCATCCCATAGAGGGAGGGCGCCCGACGACTTGTCCTCTATCCTCTTATGGGCAGAGAATTCATGGAAACCGATAGGTCTTACGCTTCTGAATGAATGGCTAACCCCACCAAGGTTTTGTTCCCTCCCGAAGAAGCGACGCCTCAAATCATTTGACCCACTTTTGTAGGGATATTGCCTTTTTGGTTGAAAACTTTATTAAAACGAATAAGAAGACTTCGGAGCGAATTTCCAACTAGCTAATTGGGGTATTTAGAAAAGATGTTCATAAACCTCTGCCGTACTCCTCGCCATAAAACAGTCCCTCCTAAAGCTAGACCGTTTCCACCATACTAGTCAACTACTTGACTTTACTTTTGATCTCTAATGAGCCGAAATCTGTCTCAGCTCAGACTATCACAGTCAACAACTTTTCCACTTAAATACGTGGAATATCTTAATCCACTTGAATTTTTCATAGACATGAGGTTAGTCTCGCAAACAGTCAAACCCAAGTTATGTTGACTTCCATGTTCGGCTATCCCGAGGAAGGTATGGATTAATGCTTTGCTAGAAATTTATCAACTGTCTTTTACATTTCCTTTCGAAAATTATGTTAACACCCACCACTCAAGAGGACCTTCACAGGGATTCTCTTCATTTACACTGAATGTAGCCTTTGGCACTCTCTGCTCAAGCTTTTCCTTTGAACGGTAATGAGATCTGTAGCAAACAAACTGAATTCTAACGCCAGAAGGCTATTAGAGATCCTTACTATTATACATATGGAAGATAAAATCTTTGGGCGTCGATCAACTCCGTTTGAGGAATGCGCCCTGCATTCGACCACATATTTATTAGGTTGATGCATAATTATTGCGGGTTTTTTTTCAATTTTTCAACGGGCGGTCAACGTGATAATCCATAGGAGTTTCTGTTGGTGAATAAGGCGACCGTAGAAGCAGATTCCATTCCTTGTTCGGCTTTGGCTGACTGCTCCACCGCCAAGAACTTCGTTTAGATCACGTTATGAGTGGGCCGCCTTCCAACATTTCTCGAAGTAGTAGAGCATAATGCGGGGAATTCGATGATGACTTTCTAGACATATTTCTGTTAATGAGAACGAGAAGATTATTTCTACAAAATCCCGGATTCAAAAGTTTGCTTTTATTGAGAGAAAAGAAGCCGCGAAAAATTTCCGCAGTAATTATGCATCAACCTAATATATTCACTTAGAAGTATCAGATGTGTTATGTATTAGTCAACTGAGTTCATCCAAATTCTTATCGTTTATACTATTATACTTGCAGAAAGTGCGGATTTTGGGATGACATGGAGCTGTTTTAAAAGAAAAATCTTAAAATCTCATTTTCTGCTTACAAAAATCAGTATCGTATTGCAATACTTCACAGATCCGTCGCTGATAATGAACGATTGGGAAGATTTGTTTCGTACTCGGTCGGAATCATCACTGTCTCGTATGATAATCGATGGGGAATTAGACCTATGCCAGGCACCACCGATGCCACAGTATGACGAAATGTTTTCGAGATTGGTACAGGTTCAGGTAAGCTACAGGCTCTTTTCGATTTTGTGAATCATAATACGTAGCTAAATTCTTCTTTATCCGTGGGAATATTTCCATGGGAAAGTGTAAAGAGTGGGAAGATCACTTACAAAACTGCTCAGCTTTTTCAAATGAAGGCTGTGACTTTTTCCTTGGATGTCCTTCAACGTCCAGGTCAGAATCATCGCTTTACCTTTTTCCACGATCCAATTGAAGGCAGATACGTGAAATAACTTAGCACTCGACAAAGCCCTGTTCCTTAGCCTAGTCTTTTCTACTACTTTCTGTCTTAGAAACGGTGAGGACAACCGATTCGACAACGAGCCTAGGGGCTTTTATCCATTAACTAGTTAGTGCATATTCACTCTGAGACATGGAGTACGGTGTGTGAGCTGCAATGACCACCTGCAATGGTCTCTGTGGTTTTGTAGTTTGCCTTTCTGCGAAGTTTGCCCCTGATCCATCACCTTTTCTCAAAGTTTTTAAAACTAATCATTGAAGAATTGCTATCCACAGTTTCTTTGAGAGAGTTCATTTTCAGACACCAATTATTTCAGGCGCAAATTCTCGGTATTTGGGACGCTATCGCGGCAGAGGACGAGCGAACCCTAAAGCAGCTGCTTTTTCAGAAAGACATGGCCCTTTGTAAAGACACGAATGGGCGTACTCCGTTACATCTTGCATACAGGTAGGAATATGAAGAAATTTATTTAATGAGTCAATATTTCTGGGTGAATTTGGTTTTAAAATGACTGGCATCCTCAGGCATCCGGAATCATGATGTTTTACAGATATATTTACATGTATGTGTATGTAAATATAAACAAATATCTTATATTTTACATATTTTCCAATGCTCGGCGAGTTTAGGCACTTGATACCCTCAGGATAGATACCAGCACATATATGTTTTGATTACAGTGATTTTTTACTATAGCTTGCTTCCAGGAGAGCTTATCAGCCTTGTATCGACTACTTGTTGAAATTGGCACCAGAAGCCGAACTAATTCGGGACAAGGTGAGCATTTTTTCAAACAACGATGCTGTTTAGGCTGAAGAAAAAAATTTACTGCCTTGATCGGCGTGGGCAATCTTATTGTCAAGCGTCTTTTGCGCTCAAAGACTGAGGGAAGGATAGAATCGTTCGATAGTGCTATTTGCCTGATCATGCAAGGTGTTTAGTTCGTTTCTCATAAAGTTTTGTCTAGCCCTCGAGGCGCCAAAATGGACTTCAGTACTCAGTCGAGAAACGGGAGCGAAGAAGCTTACAGAATTAAGTCGGTCATCTCCTCTGCAGAAAGAAGATATCTCACCACTACCTGGTTTGACCCTCTATGGATTCCCAATAGGTACCATCAAGAATATCGACGATTTTCTGAATGATATGTAATGGCGGCACCTCTGTAGACCTTGGTTTTTATGATGAGTACCACCTATCTTAAGTAGTGCATATGGCGGAATAGGAAGGTACTGATGGGAAAGGGGTTTTCATAGGGTGAGATTCTGATAGGTAAAGCGGTGAGATAGACAGCGGTAATGCTCTTGAGCTCGTGTCCCAGGGTTCTGATAACGGCTCTGCACCGCCGTATAACTGAAACATTCCCGAACACTCCCCAGTTATCGGAACTATCTAGAGTCACTCTTACCACAGTCACCATCTTCCCATAAGCCTGTCAAAATTTACAATTCTTTCTCAAAAGCGCCAGTACCAAAGGGTCAAGAGGTTGAAAGGAATCGACTGGCTATATATTGGCACAGGGTGTTTATATGTAATAAATATAGTAGTAGCCGGTCTCGAAAACCAATTTTTCGGGAAGAACTGTTTTTTTTTTCAGAAAGGACGACTTCCTCGAGATTACGCCTCTAAAGTGGTACCGAAGGAAGATCCGAAACACGCTCTACGCAGGGTCAGTCTGACTTCTAGCTTGGTCAGATTTTTTAAGCAAGTTATTATAGCTTTATCATTTGAGCAGTAGTTTGTGGTATTTGCCCCAAGTATAAACGCACCATGCACACAACATGATTACTCGTACGAGAAGATAGAAGGTATAAATCGGCTGGTCGCAACCATCCTTCAATTTCCCTGACAAGAATTTGATAAATGCCAGAAACTTTAAAATTTGCACGTTTTTTCATCGTCATTGTAAATTCGTAACTCGAAAGTTGTCTTTCATCGTGGTCAGCGATTGATAGCACGTTTGCCATGATATTATCATGAGCATGACCGAGCCCACCTCTAGCTTTGCTCGTGAAAAGAATCATTAAAGTCAGGTGGTGTAAAGGATAAAGAACACGGTGCCAGTATGGCATAACGGATTCCAGGACAGGGGTTCCAATCCCGTCTGAGGCTGAAGTTTTGCCCATATCTCGCCAATTTTAAGATAGTCACTGTCTTGAATTGTTCCTAGCCTTGAAAGTTACTTTTCTTCTGAGTTCCCAATGATTCCCCTTTTCCCAACCTTTCTTAGTCATTTTGATCGCATACTAGCTCTAATGCGTCACAGATATGACGGAATAAGTCGTCGCTTATTACATCCGTTTGACCGGTTGCTAATTGACGTCATGCCTTGGGTGGATTACTACGTCCGGTCCCTTCGCCGAATAAAAGCAAGTAATCAGGAACTTCAGCTGGGTCCGAACCTTCGACTCTTGTTTGCTCCGTCTTCCTCCCTTTTGATAAACGGAGCAGATATTACTCTTCTGTCTGTACTAGGCATCCTGTAGGTTCTATCAACTTTTTCATGCCGCTCAGATATAGACAAGCTGCTCCTGCGAAATATCTACAAGCTCTTTGAATGCGGGCCTGTTCTTGAGTACAGTGTCGTTAGATCAGTGCCATTATTCCTTTTAGGGAGCGTTTGATTACTTGGGGCTCTTGAGCGGTATCGGGAACCTTGAAATAAACAAGTAACAATCATTCGCCATGGGTGAAGGGAGCCAGGTTAGTCTTCGATACTAATGCAGCGGGTGCTTAAAAGATGAATGTCTAATTATCATTCACCATCAACGTCCCTTATGGATCTCATGCCATACATTTTAAATAACAATCATAATATTTGAGTAACTTACCCTGTCACGGATTGGCATGGCGAGGTAACACGCCAAGTACAGAAGCTTCCCACAACCCCGAGCTATAAATGCACTTTACGGCTTCCGCTAAGAGTGCTAATGAGGAGGATTTGATCAGCTGATGAAAACTGGAGCGTAAGCACTTTGATATAATCTTTCATATTGCTAATCAATTTTATTGTCATTCATTTAAGCGTTTATTTATTATGTTTTGTAATTATTGTTGATTTTTTTAGTCAAAATAATCCATGGGTTACTCTAAATGATGTCATATCTTCACTACGACGTTATCGGCTCGGCCCGTTCCTCACAAGGGCTTCATTCAAGTCTTCACTCTATCTTCGTTATATCCATCTCTCGTAATCTCTCCCGAGCCCGGCTCCTCCTTTTGCCAAATGTCTACTTTTTTTATAGGCTCGATCCTTCTGATCTCAACCTTCGTCAAGTGACCGGTGATAGTGTTTTAGTAGACAAATGAAAGGATAGAACTCGATTCGAAAGATTTTCTCCTGCTCCGTCTCAGCCAAAAAGGAATCTTCTGCTATGGAAGGGTTCCGGTTAGAAGAGAGAGAGTGGTGCATGAAGTGCTCTAAACATATCCCCAAATGGGTATGGGTGACATGTGACGATTATATCCGGCAATGCTTATTTTCGTTGACTGATAATCTGAAAGATGTCGCGTACATAGTACGTCACTCGTATTATTTTTAGTGTCAATACCCATTACAGGAGCCTTTTATATAATTCCCTTTATCGGATTTCCTATTGAGGCATCAATGACTATCGTTGGGTAAGATGATTTCGGGAGAATCATTTCCAGGATAAGATAAGACAGGATATTGAGATTAGGTTTTTGATTTCTTGGCTCTTCCAGCCGTTATAAAGTGAACTCACATACATATGGCCGAGTATCTCAATTCTTTTCAGCTCTTTCATATGTAACGACACATAATAAATGTAAATTAAATCTGAGCATAACTAATTTTGAAGCGAATTATATCTCTCTCATTTATAAAGCAGAAACTTGGTGTGTCGGTTTGTCGGTTTGGGTGTTTGTCGGTATGTCGGTATGTCGGTGTGTCCGTCCGCAAAAGTTTATGATTACGATAAGAGAGTGATATGGAAAACCCAGCTCTATCCTACATTCCTCTACATTTC